GGCCCCCCGGGGCCAACCCCGGGCTGGCCGAGGGGACTCGGGAGGGACCGAGACCCGGGGCTGTGCATTTTGGGACCCCTCTCACATGCGGGAGAAGGAACAGGCTTGTGTTTATGAGCAATTCACCTCTCACGGGGCACCCCAGCCACAGCTGCACCTCTCTGCTGGCCCTGTCCGAGTCACTCCAGGAGGCCGATGCTCCCTTATTTCTCCTCCTGGAGCGGCGTTCGACTTACCAACATCCACAATATCCAAAGCCAAATGATTTTTACGGCGGAAGGAGGCGGAGGAGCCATCTTCATCAGGCCTGTCGAATCCTGCTCTCAGAGCGATGCTGATACTGCCGGCATGGGCTGTGCCCCCGGCCGGGGAGGGCAGAGGAGCAGATGTTTGAAAGACTTTATTTTTTTCTCTCTAAGAAGTCAGTTCTGATAAAATACACAGAATCACAGAATCACAGAATGTTCGGGGTTGGAAGGGCCCTCTGTGGGTCACCCAGCCCAATCCCCTGCTGAAGCAGGGTCACCCAGAGCAGGCTGCACAGCACCGCGTCCAGGCGTCTGGAATATCTCCAGAGAAGGAGACTCCACAGCCTCCCTGGGCAGCCTGGGCCAGGGCTCTGTCACCCTCAGAGGGAAGAAGTTCTTCCTCGTGTTCAGCTGTACCTTTCTCTGCTTCAGTTTGTGCCCGTTGCCCCTTGTCCTGTCACTGGGCACCACTGAAAAGAGTTTGGCCCCGTCCTCCTGACACCCGCCCTTGAGATATTTCTAAGCATGTATTAGGTCCCCTCACAGCCTTCTCTTCTTTAGGCTGAAGACACAGTCACCTCTGAAAGGGGCTGGTGTCATCACGTGGTTGGATGCTGGGCAATTTGCATTAGGCTCTTCGTTGCAGCAGCTGGGATGGGACACGAGGAGAGTGCCTGCTCCAGGGAGAGGAGATGCTGGGGTCAGGGCCGAGCTTGGAAATCACAGAACCATGGAATCGTTAAGGTTGGAAAAGACCTCTAAGATCATCAAGTTCAACCATCAACCCAACACCACCATGTCTGCTAAACCATGTCCCGAAGGATCATGAGCTTGCCAGCTCGGCTCTAAGCCCCAGCAAAGCTCTCCTGGGCAGCTGGGGGGAGACAAGGGTGGTTCATGCTGTGGTTTGGCTTTGGGAAAGGTTTTTCTAGCTTTTGTGGCGGCAATCACAAGCGGGTGATTCCTGGTGCCGCAGACATTGAGCTGGGATGGGCTGACAGGGAGGGCTCGGGGCTGGGAACTCAGTGCCACGAGATAAGGGGCTGCGATAAGGGGGCTGCGTCATGGGAAACTGGCCTCAGGGTCCCGCCGCCCCGAGGGGCCGAAGGACGTGAAGAGATAAGGGTAAGGTCACCCAAGCCCCGGGAGAGCTTGCCAGGCGACTCAGCGGCAGGAGGCTTGGCTTGCAGGAGGCTGCATGAACCTCTCGGCCGTGTCCTGGCATCCGTAGCCAGCTGCCGAGGAAGCCGCGGAGGCTCCACTGGCACCACCGGCCCTCGGCAAGGCAGTGGCATGGGCTGGCGGGGCCAAGCTGGTTCTCAGCACCGATTTACTCCGCATCGGGGCCGCGATGGGCGAGCACGTGTCTCCTTGCAGAGCACAGTCTCCCAGTCTGTCCCAGGGGATTTATTTTCCTAAAATGGAAGCAAAAGCTGAATTGATTTATTTTGGTTGGCAGCATGCGGAGCCGAGTAAATAATCCACGAGAAGCTCCAGAGCTGTCCAGGCATCTCCAGAGGCCCGGTTTCTTTTCCTAGAAGAACTGGGCTGGTCTTACTTTGTGACTCCCCAGCTCTGGCGGCAGGAGCTGGTTCGTCCCT